CTTTAATCCTAAAAACAGTTTTAAGGAGAAGAAGCACAAAGCTCACAGACTTGAGGAGAAGTTAGAATATGTTGTAGTTCTCCTCTTTAAAACAACCTTCATCTCCTCCTCCTCCTCATCATCACATGAACGGCTCTCTGGTTTTAGGAACATCCGGGACACGAAACCCGATCTTTAAAAGAGTGGAATGTGTGTTTAACCATGGAGGAGCACGAGGACACGTGATTGGTGGACGCAGCCGGTAGAGGAGAACCGTTAAAAAACAGAACGGAACGCACCCCCGCTTGTTTTCTTCTTCTTCTTCCTTCAATGGCAGTAGGATCCAGCAGAGCACCAGGAGGATCTACCTGCAGGTCTGCGGTAAGAACAACAACACGAGCACGTACACAACAAACAACAGCCGGGGTCTGCACGCGCACGCACGCGTAAATGACTCACGTCAATGCGCGTGACCAGGAAGAAAAGACCCGCTATACAACAACACACAATGGAGCTCTCAGGCTAACCCGGGATAACTCGATACGGGTCTTCTTTGCGTGACAGCTGCCGGGCCAATGGAAACGTGCACGAGGCGCCAGCTGCGCGCGCTGCAGCCAATGGAAGCTCGTGAGCTCAAGGTTCATGTTAGGCTGCAGCTGCGAAAACTTCCACCAAAATAAAAGAAGAAGAAGCTGTTTGTGTTGTGGCTGCTGCAGTGGTGTTTAGTGGCCATTTTAGGTAAGAAGCGCGCTTTAACTTCTGGATGAGGCTCGTCTCTGTGTGTGTGTGTGTGTGCGCGCGCGTGCGTGCAGGACTCCGGCATCCAGACTGAATAAAGTCTGCTAACCCTATCTTTATGTGGATCAAATAGGTATTACACTCCTCCTCCTCCCATACTCCCTCCCTCCTCCTCCTCGCTTACTCTCTCCCTCCTTCATCCCTCCTCCTCCCTTACTCTCTCCCTCCTTCCTTCATCCCTCCTCCCTTACTCTCTCTCCCTCCTTCATCCCTCCTCCTCCCTTACTCTCTCCCTCCTTCCTTCATCCCTCCTCCTCCCTCACTCCTTCATCCCGTACTCTCTCCCTCCTCCCTTACTCTCGCCCTCCTTCATCCCTCCTCCTCCCTTACTCCCTCACTCCTTCATCCCTCCTTCCTTCCTTCCTCCCTCCTCATCTCTCTGTCTCTCTTTCTGTCTGTCTCTCTCTATCTCCCCTCTCCTCTCACCCTCCCTCCCTCCCTCCCTCCCTCCCCATCTCTCTCCTCTCCCCTCCCTCCCTTGCCCGCTAATTTTTTATGCATTTTTCTAAACTGTCATGGCGATTTTGTGTCCTTGGAAATAAAAAGCGCCAGTGGTTTTTTCTCCCTTTTTCCGGTGCGGACCGCGGTGATGTCTCGCGGGTGAGAGCGCGTGAGTCTGGAGCAGGTGAGGGTTTACCGGTGGAAAGGTGTCCTCGATACGGGAGAGTTTATAGTCCACACGTGTAAAGAGATCCTATAATGTCTCTACAACAGAGATGATGCGGTAACGTTACATAGCTAGCGGGGGAAGCTAGCTCGGAACGTAGCATCGGATGCTAACGTAAAAAGAGGACACCGTGTCTCCGTCTCTCGGTCGGGGGCAGCTTTGTGTTTAAGAAGTAGCTTAGCTCCTCCGCAACCCTCAGTCAACCCAGCGAGCTAGCTGTGTGTTAGCTGTGAGCTAGCTGTGTGCTATCTGAGAGCTTGCCGCTGCGTCCGTTAGCATTGACCAAATAGCCCAAACCTTTAGAGAAGTGTAAGCTAGTTAGCTGTTAGCCAGCTAGCCTCTGGAGATTTGTGTTTGTTTGTGTGTGTGTGTGTGTGTGCGCGCGCGCGCGTACACAATGAGTCATGAAGCGGTGGTGTGCACGCGCTCACCTGGCCAGGTGTGACACCCGACAGACAAAAGGTCTGTGAGCTAACCGGCTACCTGAGGTCTGATGGATCACAGTGAATATGAAATAGATTCAGAATGTCTGGAGGTTCTAGAGGTCGCAGGTTCGATTCCTCAGGAGGACACAGTGGTCCATCAGCAGAGGACCAGAGGGTTAAACCTCAGAGGGTCGACCACCTTGTCCTCCTTTCTTGTCTTCTTTTCCTCTTGCCTCCTTGTCCTCCTTTTTTGTCTCCTTGTCCTCTGTCTTCTTGTCCTCATGTCTCCTTATCTCTTGTCCTCATGTCTCCTTATCTTTTGTCCTCTTTTCCCCTTATCTTTTGTCCTCTTTTCCCCTTATCTTTTGTCCTCATGTCTCCTTGTCCTCATGTCTCCTTGTCCTCTGTCCTCTCTTCTGTTTGCTACACTTTGACTCAGAAACAGAAGTTTTTTTGGTCAATAAAACATCTTTAGTGTCCTCAGTAGTAGAGACAGTATTCAATACTGAGTCATCCGTAGTACTTTGTTCATACTGATGTAGTATAAATTAATATAAATACATCTATCTGTAGTACTTCGTTCATACTGATGCAGTATAAATTAATATATATATTGTGTGGGCGACTGTGGCTAAGTGGATAGCAGGGCTGTCTTTCAATCAGAGGGTCGGTGGTTCAATCTCCGGCTCTGCTCGTCGCATGTCGATGTGTCCTTGAGCAAGACACTTAACCCCAAAAATTGCTCCCGGTGTATAATGTGATAGACTCTGAATTGTAAGTTGCTTTGGATAAAAGCGTCTGCTAAATGACTGTAATGTAAAATATTGTTTACTCTGCTGATCATTTGTTTTTATATTAATACAAGTTTTCAGTATAAATGATCATGTTTATTAATACCTGACAATAAATACCCAGTTTAGAACAGAAAATACTACTTCCTGTTAGTGCTGGGCGGTATACCGGTTTTAATTTCCCTATGATATGAATTCTTCACACACCGTCATACCGTCACAGAAACAACCGCTGTCTGTCTTCAACAGGCAGCAGAATATATTGTTCGCCGCTAAGAGCGCTACAGTCGGAGCTACTTGTCTTAAGTGTGTTGAGAGGGACGATCTAATCATGGTTATAACACAACAATTAACAACACACAACTAACGCTTTACGCTTTAACAGGGCAAAACACCACGACACAACAGTTTGTGACACATAAACAATTTGTAACACTAATAATTGTACATTTATAAAATTACACCACCGAACGGCATGCTGGGTACAGCTCACTAACAACAGTCTGCTAACAGCTGGGAGAGGCTCTGTCGCTCCAGTAACGTTACATTAAAGAACAGAACAGAGCGATGCAGGATGAACAAAGACAGACCAGAGATGCACCGATAGAGTCAGACACATATGCAACGCTGATTACCGTGTAATATGTGTGGTATTTCTTATAAATGTACGTTGGTACATAGAGGGTCATAAGAAGCTGTACATGGAGGGACTTAGGACCCGGGGGAATGTAGGTGAAGGAAACAGGAAGTGACGGAACGGAAGACGCACCACACAAACAGCTGTTCACCACTCGCTGGCCGGCCAGTTCTTTTCTGCGTTAATTAATGAATGCTTTAACGCGGAAAAAAAATGGCGTGATATACCGTGAAACCGCCAGAATCTTACAAAATACCGTAATAAGCATTTTTGGTCATACCGCCCAGCCCTAATTCTACCTCTCAGAACAGATCTGAGTCTGTTTGGGTTATTGTGAGACCCTTTAAAGCTCATTTCTACACTGATAGAAGTCAGACACACAGCATGGAAATGTATAACAGTGGTTCGATAACAACGAGGAGAAACGGAACTAAACACTGCTGTTCAACTATAACAAGAACAATTTTTAATAACCAGCTTTTAAGAATGGCAATAATAATCACTGCTGGTTTTAACTTATTTTACATTCTATCAAAATGAATCAATAACGTCTTGTTGTCTCTCCGTCCCGTCTTCCAGTCCGATGAGGACATGTTTAACCCGGACTATGTGGAGGTGGACAGAGTCTTGGAGGTGGCTGTCACCACGGACACTGAGACTGGAGAGGTAGGTAGCACATGAACACAGCAGTGGTAACATCAGGTAACGCCGTGTAACAAAAGCTAACACCAGGTAACACCGTGTGTTGTAGGAGGTCACCCACTACCTGGTGAAGTGGTGCAGTCTCTCATACGAGGAAGCGACCTGGGAGCTGCAGGAGGACCTGGACCCAGAGAAGATCAAAGAGTTTGAGGAGATCCAGAAACTGCCACCAGACCTCAGACACATGGTGAGTGGAAACATGAGTCCAGAGGAGAAGAAGGGAGAACCTGAACACAACACCATGGTCTCAGACTACCACATACGTATATGGCACTTTATCAATGGTTTTATAAGTAGTACAGGAGAAGTATATGGACACAGTTGTGATTACTATTCACACACCACATCGATAAAGTGAGAGGGGAAGTATTTCTTATAAGCATATTTCATCTTATTTACCAATGCATTGTAACAGCGGCAGAGCTCATGACTCTCCCCGTCATTCACTCCATCAGCTGATGTTTGTTTTGTTCTCACTCGTCTGCGTCAGTCCACACAGAAGCTGCAGCACCGTTTACTTCAAGCAGTTAAACTAGCATCATGTAGATTAAAGAAAATATGCTGTTTCATGACATCTTAATATTGCCCACAAAGTCGTGACTGTGTTGCTTTTCCAGCCGGAGAACCAGCTGCTAAAAACACATCAAGTGACCTGATTGAACTGCTGCAAAGATCTAGAGATGTGGGCGGCGATAAACAGATAATATTAGATAAATAGTGAGCAGAAACATCTAGAGTTTAGATGAAAGAAAAAGGGAACAATGACAACCTGCTCTTTCTGCCTCAGATTCTCCATCTTGGTCGTGATTTGACTTTGTTCTAATGAGTTTAAACGTCATCAGAACTCTGAGGTTCTCTTTCTGCTGGTTTTCTGTTTGGTGTTGGAGGTGAAACTGAGGTTTTCAGAGTCGGATCCTAAAAGACCTCCTTAGGTGTGTGCTTGTTTATCTCCTTTTGTGCTGGAACCAAAAGAACCAACTAGTTCTAACGTCTGACATTCTGCTCGTTCTCTTGCTGGATCTTTTCCATCATATCTGATAAATTGTGTTCGTTGTGTTCATGTTGCAGGAGCGTCCTCCTCCAGAGAAATGGCACAAGCTGGACTGCTGCAGAGGTTACAGGAATGGAAACCTGCTCAGAGAATACCAGTTAGAGGGAATGAACTGGTTACTGTTCAACTGGTACAACAGGTGAGTACTGCATACACACACACACACACACTCTCTCTGTCCTCTCTGTTTCCTCTCTGTCCTCTGTGTCCTCTCTGTTTCCTCTCTGTCCTCTCTGTGTCCTCTGTTTCCTCTCTGTGTCCTCTCTGTTTCCTCTGTCCTCTGTGTCATTTGTGTCCTCTCTGTCCTCTGTGCCCTCTCTGTCCTCTCTGTCCTCTCTGTTTCCTCTCTGTGTCATCTGTGTCCTCTCTGTTTCCTCTGTCCTCTGTGTCATTTGTGTCCTCTGTGTCCACTCTGTCCTCTCTGTTTCCTCTGTCCTCTGTGTCATTTGTGTCCTCTCTGTCATTTGTGTCCTCTGTGTCCTCTCTGTTTCCTCTGTCCTCTGTGTCATTTGTGTCCTCTGTGTCCTCTCTGTCCCCTGTCCTCTCTCACTGTCTCCATCTCTCTTCTAGAAAAAACTGCATCCTGGCAGATGAGATGGGTTTGGGAAAGACCATCCAGTCCATCACGTTCCTTTACGAGATCTTCAGCATGGGGATCCGCGGGCCCTTCCTCATCATCGCTCCTCTGTCCACCATCACCAACTGGGAGAGGGAGTTTAGAACGTGGACTCCCATGAACGTCATCGTGTACCACGGCTCTCAGATCAGCCGGCAGATGATCCTGCAGTATGAGATGTTCTACAGAGACCCGCAGGTAACGTTCTACACAGAGACCAGGTTCTAGAGTAGGGACAAGGTTTTAGTAGATAAAGTAGGGACGAGGTTTTAGAGTAGGGGCGAGGTTTTAAAGTAGGGGCGAGGTTTTAGTAGATAAAGTAGGGACGAGGTTCTAGAGTAGGGGCGAGGTTTTAG